ATTAAGTCTCAGTGAGCTTTTAATTTTTCAACAGTCTTCGTGTTTTTTTCCGGTTTCTGAAGCTGCTCGTGTGTCGCCTCAGTGAACCGTTTAGAGCCGCAGAACGGATCCTCCAGAACAAAGCTCGCGGTCGAGGTTGAGCACATTTCTACGTTTGCTTCCAAAACAATGAACACATTAAAGATGCAGCTCTTGTTTGTCTGCAGTGGGTTGCCGTATGACGGATCTTCCAGAAAGCCCCCAGCCAGGAAACTGCGACGTGTCCATCCAGGTGGTGTCCCCCAGCCCCCACAGCACCGTGGTCCACAGCCCCACCAGCCAGGTGAGCCCGGAGGCCGGTGAGTGGCTCAGCCCCACCGACACCGTCCTGGATGGAAATCCCTGAGCGCTGCGCCTCCATCTTTACCTGACCGGTAGCGTCAGCTCCAATCATTAGCTCTGGCTGCCCGGCTCATGTGGTGTTTAGAGGCTGTTAAAGTCTGTTAGGCTGATGTTAAACTGACCAAAGTGATCAGTCAAACAAGCCATTTAAATCAGTTGGACATGGCCCGGAGAGGATTTATGGCCTGAGATCAGTTTCTAATCAGTTCATTGCTTTCATTGCCTTTTTGATGGATCAGTTCCCTTCATGAAACTCACCCGACAAATGAAAACCATATCGCACGGGTCACATATTTTACTGTGGCGAGTGAAACCTCTTGTAGCCAGACTTCATATTTCCTCTCGGTTGATACCTCGCTGGAATAAACCCGTATTTCCTTGGTCTGTCTTTTCCTGTTTCCTGAGCAGTACATATCCTCCCACAGAAGAGCGTTTTCAGTCACGCTAGAAACTGAGACCAGACTAAAAACTGATTTATCAGAAGCGGGAAATACTCTCCAGAACAGAAGAGCTTCTAAAAACATCACTGAGATCATTTGTAGGTGACAGCTACTAACAGTCTCTTTATATTTTACGACCTCACGAGTGATACCGGCCCTGTACAGCTTATCAACATCCACTGACTCTGGGTAAATGTTTCAGTGATGCTAGTTTAACATTATGCTCTATTTAACATCAGTAACATGAGTGTTGAAAAAGCCCAAAACAGAAATCTGTAGCCTGCACATCTCACAGCATGTTTCCACCATAAAGACTTTGGTAGGATAGAAGAGTTGTGTCAGGGTTTGGACTCTGGTGTGTTCGCCTCATATTTCCAGTCACGTGGACCTGCTTGTATGTTTTGTTCAGACCGTAGTTAGAATATTTGTATTTTTTTGACATTTGGCGTCGCCCCTGCTGCGCCACCTCCCACTATCTATTTCTGCAGCTGGTGGGGATCGAGCCTCCTCTGAAATGTCACGGATCCACCACAGAAAGTTCACCAAATTTGATTTGCAAAAATTAAAAGACTGCGAGCTGCTCAAGTGACTCTGCAGCTCTTTGCTCTCCTTCACGGCAAAGTGAAAGGCCGTCCAGGTCCTCTCCCGACTGCGCGTCAATTAAACCGAGTGAATAAAGTGCACTCCTGGCATTTTTCCATCTCTCCACAAACCCAGCGTACCTGAGAGGATACTGCTGGCTCCCCCTCTGTCCCGGCGGTTTCGTGATGGACGGCTTTCTTGACCCTCCCAGTCACCGACGTCTCGCGCTGAGGCATGAGGAGGGTCGTGTATCTCCCTCTGCAGGTATGCGGATGCCTGGGAGACAGCTGCCACCGGGCAACGTGATAAAACAGCCCATTTCATTCAGGGGACATCTGATAGCGCAGCAGCTCCACAGAGTCTGGCAGCACTGGGCCCGACTGAAACTGGATCACACGGCGGCAGAAGGGAGTGGGCACCAGGCTGTCAGAGCAGAGCCAGATAACAACTGCTTCTGAGTTGTGATTCTACGCTGAAGGTGAAAGTACGATTTACACGTGTGTTTACTCACAGACACCCTGAAACATCTGAGGTCTGTGTGGGCAGCCGTACGAGTGCAAGTCGCACAAACACCACATTTTAGACGTGAACAGGATCCCAGACTTTGTTCAAAGCCGACAACATGCAGACGGATGCAGGCCCACGTGAAAGCTAGCCGAACCTCTGGCACATCTGTAAAACTGCAAAGGAAGAGGTTCTGTCGAGGAAGATGCACTTTTCCACTTTCTTGCCAAGAGTTAGACGAGATGATGTGTGCATCATTAATATGAAGCTGGCATGAGCATCCTGTTAGCTTAGTTAGCATAAACACTGGAGCCAGAAACGGCGAGTCTGGCTCCCTCGAAGAGAACAAAATCCTCGTGGAAGCATATCAAAAGCTTGCTAATTAACACATTGCCTCGTTTAGTTATGAAAGCGCTATCAGTATTCGTAGCTAACTCTCAGTTAGGAAACATAATAGGCATATTTTCCGAGCAAAGATTTGAAAATCAGATAAATTAGGGGAATTTTCATTGGGACTTTGAGTGAAACTTAACCAATAACCTTTTCTGATGAGTTATTTCTGGATTAAGTATCGCGCCACTTACTCACGTTGTCCAAATCCTGTTAAAAAGCACGTATCGGGTGCTGAATTGTTCTCAGATTTTTTACATTTTTTGTGCTCGTATCGATAGTAGACTCAAACATTCAGCATTTATGCTCACTCAGACAAGTTTTCTCCCTCCTCCCTTCACCCTCACCCCGGCCGGTGGAGGCAGACGTCCAGCCTCCCTGAGCCTGGATCTACTGGAGGTCTCTTCTCGTTTAAAGGGAGTTCCTCCACTAAACCTTTCCTCATAGGGAAATTAGATTTAAACTAGTCAAATCTCCTTAATTAATAATATTATCGTGCCTTAGCCTTAATTTAGTCAGCCAATTTGTAATTTAAGCATTTAAACAATAAGATTTTGATTATTCAGGTAAATCCATGTCATGAAAAACACTGTATGGTCTCCACCTTCGTATATCAGGTAAATCTGCAATCTTATCGTTCCACTGTAAAGCATGTTGGCTCAACGTAAACCACGTATCGCCGGAAAAAAACACCACATCCAGGTAAAAGTTAACTACAAACATGACACTTTTATTGAACTTTTTTTTTTTTTTTTTTTTTTCCTGAATCAGTTACAGAAACAAGAGAGTTAACTGTTGTTGTTGTTTTTTTTTTCTTCTTTTTTCTTTTTCTAATCAGGGGAATCAAGTTCTATACATAGGCATGCTGCGTCACCGCACAGTCATAGCTGTGAAAACCAATATTGCCCCTGTCAGCTGCCCCGCTGGAACAGTCTGAAGGCAAGACGAATCAGAAGAGGACAGGCAAGGACATGTCAACCCCAGGGAGGATGGGTGTTCAGATGGGCTACCCAGGGAAAGACAAACTTAACATAGAAGTTTTGTGCAAATTTCACCACAGTCTATTTGATTTTAAACACAGAGACAATATCAGTCGGAAGATTTTCTCTTTTTTTTTTTTCTTTCCCTCAAGTCTTCAAACTAACAGAGGAAGTTATTTTTAGGTCCAGTGTTGATGGCATTTCATTCCTTTTTGGGGAATCAAACTATTTTGGACCATTTCCCCTGATTTTAATCTCTTTGCTTCTCAAGAACCAGCTCTCTTTTGTGTTTAAGAAAGCACAGACATTAAGTGTGTCATCTGATATACACTGAAATTATGATTGCTGTCACAGGACCTTTACATAAATAGAGTTAGTATTCAAAAGTACGTCTGAGAAAGGTCTTATATGTAGAAATGGTGATAAGCATGCACAGATAGGTAGTCGACAAGTGCAAAATCTACGAAGTCACATCATGTTATTTTTTTTTTTTTTTGTACTCCACATTGAGTGAAAACATCACAAGAACTGAAACCTCCCGTCGTCCCTTCACTGCTGACCATCCCAAACCCTGAGGACGCTTCATCTCGCATGGATCCGACCAGCGTCGGCCCAAACAGAGCCTGGCGTAGCAGGACAAGCTGTCTTTGGGCATGAAGCTGGCATGCAAGTACCAGTCCTATTTTAGAATAGCCAGTGTGTGAGACATAAACATACAGCAGCAGTCGACGGCTGACCCCTAATCTTTTCTTAGTCGAGGGCTGATGTGAGATCCGGGGTCACTGGACTGACTGTTGGTGGGCTAGAAGTGAGTTTGTTCTGCCCTCCCTGCTAGCTGTCCCCAAAGTATCACAGAATACTGTTTACCGCATGAAGTGCCAAAATTATTCACAGCCATAGTCGTTTTTCTGAAAATTTCAAAATAAGTGTGTTTGAATCCCCGTAACGGACCCCTGTCTGGACTGAGATTAGGAGGTACAGCCAACGTAAATCCTCATCATGATTTCCTTCAACATTAATCAAACAAACAAAAAAATAAAATAAAAGCATATCTAGTGTTGGCAGAACGTTTCCAAAATGCTAGTTTAAAAAATAAAAGACACCAGCAAGAGAAAAATAAAAGCTTAATGTAACAACAAGCAAATTCATGAACATAAAGCAAACCAGCTTAAAAAAAGAGAGAGAGAGAGAATCAGTTTGCAGTGGTCAGTTTCCCAGCGTGTCACTGGTGTCTAAACTCAGCCTACAGTTAAAAAAAAAAAAGGAAAAAAGTAAACAAGCAAGCAACGCTTTACAGCACTATTATGTACACAGCTTCTCGGGTGAGAGCGAGAGCTGGTGTCACGATGGAGGGAGAAGGGCGTGAAACGGAGACTCCAGTGAAACAAGAGTCCTTCTTGGCACTGGGACTTGAATTATAGCCGACCACAGAGAGACGGGAGGAGGAGGGAGAGACGCTCGGCCAGATAAAGAAGACGACCACACAGAGCAACACGGCCGCCTCCACATCACAGACACACACAGACCAGGCAGCCATTTTCTCGCACAGATTGGAGAAAGAAGATTTTACCGTCACAGACTCCCCTCAGACCGTCTCTCCTTCCTCCTCCTCTCATGTTTGATCCTCCTCTTTCTACCTTGCACTGTAAATCTGATCCTCCTAAGGCTCTAGAATCTCTGCACACAGGAGCCACAGCTCTATATATATATATATATACATATATAGTCTGTCACTCACAGTTTGACTACTGTATCTATAAAAGTGTTGTTTCTGTGCCTCACTGGAGGGTCGTGTGGAGGAATATTTAGCACCAGAGAGCAACTTGGACTTTGAATTTTCGCCGCCGACACTCATGAAATCACAACACTCACGTACGCACACACAAACACAGACAGAGGAACTACGAGCGGGAGACCATTTCACTTCCTCGCTCCGTTTCCTGCTGATATAAAGTGACAGTTTCTCCTGGCTGCTTCAAACCGCCAGTGGCCATCGGAGATGTGGGAGAGCACAGCAGTCTGACCTAGATTCACGAGGCGGCGCCGCCCCGCTGGTGACTGACGCCCTCCTCGTCCAATCACAGACCACCCCGCTCCATCGCACCTCTAGCAGCAGTTCACTAGCAGCTTCCCTCCGCCCAGGTGCTCCACGCTGCTCTCGTCGTCACCGCGGTCACTGGGAACTTCTTTTCCAGTTCGGGCTTCACAGTTTTGTGTTTGCAAAGTGTCCATGCAGGTGGGAGGATGACGCAAGGTGAGAGGAGTTATGTGTTGTATTCACAGAGAGATGCGGAGCCGGAGAGGGAGAGGGAGGAAAAAGCTGTCGGGGTAACAGTCTGGAGAGAGGGAGGGTTTGCTGGAGTGGGCGAGTTGTGGGGTATTCACACGCTCCCTCATGCACACCCACAGAGGCTGGCTTGTTTCTAGGAGGGCGGTGCTCGAGCTGCACAGTCGCCCACGTGCTCTGCCGTCACCTACGCCGTGGATGGATGGAGGACAGAGCCAAATGTTTCCACTTGAGCGCCAGCATTGTGAGAAGCAGCAGAAAAGACATCCTTCCTGACAGGAAGAGAGATAGAGCAGGAAAGAGCGATAGATTTTCACAGTTTTCGAGGATGCCTTACGAAGCTGCGGAGTCGGAGGAGCAAATCAAACCGAGGGAACGAATACTGCATGTTGATATTTTCAGATCGGAGTCAGCAGCTCTTTTGTTTTGCTACTTGCTGGTCACGTTTCAAGTTTTCAAACTCTTCTATTGAGACTTGTGTGCTAGAAAAGCTTTAGCTCTGTCCTCCATACCCTACGTCCTCTCAGTCTCACACACACTCACACAGTAGTTGATTGGCACACAGTCAGTGTTAAAGTCTGTACACACAGTCAAAGGGCCCTGCAGGCATCCGTGCTGTTAAGTCCAATCCAAGCGGACGGGCTCCTTGTCCTGGACCTCTCCCTCCTCACCCTCTCCATCCTCTTCTTCTCTTCATTTTCTATCACACATCCTCTTTCCAAACCTCTCGCTCACCACAGTTGCCTCCCCGTGTAGGTGGGAGGGGCGGAGGGCACCTGTAGATGGAAAAATTCAGTTTGTAAACGACAAACCGGGCTGAACATTCACACACAGGCTGAGCACAAATCTCCCCACGGGTCTGCTTTTAATTTTAAATTCCTATTTTTGCCCCCTCGCTGTGAAGGTTTCAATTTTATTCACTCACTAAAATCTACAGACTGTCAAACTGCCAAAATCCAGAGATTAAAATATATATTTATCCAGCTCACATTCAAATAGTCCAGATCCACAGTCAATTTTCAGCCTCTCAGGCGACATAAAGGCTCCTGGAAAACCTTCAGTTAATGCTGTACGGGCTGAACACACGTGTGCATGTTTTACTGGTGGAAAGTCGTAATTGTTTAACGTGTTATTTATCGTCAGCGTTCTCCATAAACATGCGGTGGAACGTCAGGGCTTAGCGAGTTTCTACTACTGTTGTTTTGGAAAGCCTGATGACTAATCCCATTACTGTGTGTTATTAGATTGATATGCAAATCCAGGAAATAATCTAAGGGCTCGTTTGAGGCAGCAGCTCGTTAGCTTAGCTTAGCACGAACACTGATTTAATCCGTACAAAATGCCACGTCCAGGCTGTTTCCCTGTTTCCACTTTTTACTGTCCCGTATTGATTTTCTCATCAGACTCTCTGCAGGCGTATGCCGTCTCCCAGAATGTCAACCTCATCCCTTAACTCTGTCTTCCACTCGTCGCCCATTATCCACTTTGCTCTTTCATCCTCGCTGTTGCCCATTTTGTTCATTGTGCAGTCGTCTTTTTAAAAAAAATAGTTTTAGTCTTTTAAATTGCTGTTAAAAGCTAATTATCTTATTTATTATATTTGATGCCTGAAGCAAAGTACCTCCTGTTGAGGATCCTGAGCATGCGATATAAATAAACTCTGCTTGCCTTTCAAACGGATGCACAAAAACACTGTTCATGCAAACTAATGATATTTTATGCAAAGCAGCTTAAGGAGAAGTCTCTACTTTCCCTTTGTTGGATAAATCAGCATGCCTGGCTGGATTCTCTAGGAGCAGTGACAACAAATGATCTCAGGCAGGAGTGCGTTACTTCAGTATTTCAGCCTGCTGTACGATGAGCTGTTGTGCTGTTGTGTAGCGTGCGTTATTCACAGCACAGTGGCTGGACAGCGGTTCACCTGTGCCAGCCGGAGCAGCCATTCATCCTGCATAATGAAGGCCGGGAGAGGTCGGCCGACAGTCGCATCACTCAGTGGACTCACAGCATTCGCAGGTTATTTACACACTCAGGAGCACATGGAAGTTGCCTCACAGTCACTCGTGCACAAATCAGTGTCAGTCGAATGGCCATTTGTGCCAAACCCATCCATGCATGTGCCCACGAAGTGCAACACACACCTGAGCATGCAGGCACAAACTGAGAATGCACGCACATACTCACACCTCTCCCTCATTCTTTTGCAATGACAAATGGTCCAGAACGCACAAATGTGCATGCAGTCTTGTCGGCGTGGGCGAATGAGAGAGCGGCGTGTAAGCGGCGTGTACCTGTGACTGGGAGGATGTACTCACCGCTCCCCCGTTCAGGATCATGGTCATTTCGGTGGGCTGGTAGACGTTGCTACGGAAAGGAGCACTGGGCCTGGCACCGGTGTTGCTGTTGTGTTGCCCGGCGCCGCCACCGCTCCTCAAACCTGGCGTGGGAATAGACGGAGAGGTGGACAGAGATTACTCACTGGGTATCACCATATCACACAGAAGAGTTCCTGCATCACACGAATGTCCTCCTGTTCTTATTTCTAGCCTCATATGCAAATATTTTCTGCTGCTCTATTACTCACTTTGGCCTACATTCCTCCTACAAGCTGTCCACACACACTGTGCCTGTCTGCTCTGAGATATGGGACTGCGCTGTACCTGCAGTGTTCTCGTCGTTGTATCCGTAGCCCTGGTTCTCCACAAACTGCCTGTGAGATAGAGGGATGTCTTCATCGAAGCTCGTCTCCCTCATCCGTGTCGAGTTCTGGGATGTGTCGAAGTAATCGGGGGCGGTGGGTTGCGGCGGGGGCCTCAGGCAGATGTGGGATTCGGGGATGGCGTGGAAGATGAGCAGCAGCCAGCCCTGAGCCACTAAAGCGATCGCCAGCGCCGGGTCGTTCCAGTCCGGGGACCTGCCGAGCCAGGCGTTGCCGTACAGGTAGAAGCCCACCCAGGCCACCCACAGCAGCAGCGACAACAGGCAGGTCAGCAGCAGCCAGATGGCGTTGCAGCGCCACTGACGTGTCTTCCCGCAGAGGGCCAGGGAGGCGGCAGTCAGCGCGGCCAGTAGCAGGGCGAGCACGTAGCTACAGGCTAGTGAGAAGTCCAGAGGCAGATACTGACAGGCAGCTCTTCCCTCCCTCAGCACAGTCAGAAGCAGCCACTCGGCAGCGATGATGCCCTGCACGGCGCTCAAACCCAACGCCAGGCCCGTGAGGGCGCAGCCGCCCGGGCTCCGGCGCTCCCGGCCCAGCCTGCGCAGACGGACGCCCTGAACCAGCAGGCAGGAGAAGCAGACGGCGAACAGGAGACCCCACAAAGCCCTGCGGAGGAGACACAGCGACTCGTCCTGCTCGATCAGGTAAGCAAAGCTCAGGCCGAACAAGCCGAGGATGCCGAGGAGCAGCAGGAGGATGGGTCCCACGCCGCTCCGCTTCTCGGCCTCGCTGATGTGGCGTAAACGGCACAGCAGCACCAGGGCCAGCAAGATGGCGGCCAGAGTCCCGCCAGCAGCCACGGACTCAACGGCCACGCCCCATATGGAGTCCAGGTCACAGAGGAGGGTGTAGGGACGCACCAGGCCCCAGCCACAGCCTCTTGGGAGGGTCTCGGGATCCGAATTTTGACTGCTAGCACGATGAGAAACAGCCAACAGCAGCAGGAGGAGGACTGGGAGGAACGCCATCTCTGGAGAGAAGACAGGGGGACAGTCAAAGGAAAGGAGGAGAGAGAAAGACGGTGAGTCACTCTGGTCATAAACGTTTGGATGGAGCGGAGCAGTCAGTCACAGTAATCATCCACCTGGGTGACAAGACAGACAATCGGCCACTGCTGGGTTGTAGTCAGGAAACAAAGGACCGGAGTTCACACCGGGTGAAAGACCGAAGCCACAAAAACACACAGAGCATCCTCTGTCACCAGCAGCAGCCTGTAGGCCTCGCTTTTATTTCAACCTTTAGAGGTTTTCATGTTGTTGCTACCAGCCTCGAATTAAAAGCAACACGCAGGACATCAGCTGATTCTTGGGCGTACGATTTGTCCGCGTGCTGACAGGAAAGCTGCAGCATCATGCATATTTTTATGAAAAAGCAGAGATACAGAGAAAGGAGCGCCTACAAGCAGTTCAGCTCACTATCAGGCATCTGAGGGCATCCAGCGAGGTGCGAGACGATAACACACTGCACACAAACACACACACACACACAACGCCTCCAGCACCAGCACCGACACTTTTAAGAGAAGTGTCCCAGCGAAACCAACAACAACAACAAAAAAGCCTATATCAGCACTCTGCTCAAAATCAATGCTGTCTCCATCTCCCGTTTTCTTTATTCATCACCGCTGTCAACACACACAAACAAACACACATTCTTTGGTTTCGCTGAGGGCTTTGCTGGGATGATCGCTGCTGTCGCTTCACCTGACAAGCTGTGTGTTTTATGGCAGGTTGATCTGTATTTAAAGGCGCCACAACACCACACACACACACACACACACACAAACACGTCTTCCTGCCAGGTTGCTGTCGCCGGGCTTTTAGAAATTCTTTCCAAGCTGGATCAGACTTTAGTGTGTTAAACAATCCGCCTTCACAAAGCGCTTTTCTTTCCTCTCCGTGCTTGAAGCAACACACTGGATTGTTTATTTCAGAGGACTGTAGCCTCACTGTAATTTTGACATTAAAATTTTGCACGGTGTCCACAAATAGACCGTGCCACAATATCTGTACACCACCTAAAGGACACTGGATATCCCAGCTTCACATTCTCTCTTCATACCAGTGAGTCAGGATGAGTTTCATGGTCGGGCCGTCAGCGGGCGGCTCGTTGAAATGAACGCCGGCGTCCGTCCAGCATGTGGCTCATGAAGTGGGACGGATTGTAAGAAGGAAGCAGACCTTTGATATTCTGACTGATTAAAACACGAGTGGATGTAGTATTGATCTTGTATGATTTGTCTTTGACAGACTTTAAACCATAAAGCAGCTATAGGCGATATTTAAAGTGTAGAATCAAAGGCGGTGTTTCTTTTGGCTTCACTGAACAAATAATCCATAATAACCTTCTAGCATGCTGTAATTCAACTGGTCGGAGAAGAAACTACCGTAATGTCCCGACTATAAGCCGCTACTTCTTTCACACGCTGCGGCTGAAACAACGATGCGGCTAGTTTATGGATTTTTACGAGTTTGCCTCGAGACCAAAGTGACGCTGAGAGCGACGACGGCAGGGAGACTGAGGAAGTGACGAAGTGATTCTGAGGCTGAAGAAGACGACTTTAGTGGTTTTAGTGCAGGAGGAAGATGAAGACAGCGATCAGTGACTTTTCCTGGTAGCTGCTGGAGTTTTTATTTCCTTAACCAGCCGTGTTACAGGAACTGTTCAGAAAAAAGCCTCTACGGTGCGTATTTAATAAACAGTTAAAACATCTTTCTGTGTAAATATCTCACGTTCCAACGTGGACACCTGCAGCTTACAGACAAGTGCGGCCTGTATATGTACGATTTCTTTTTTCTTTTTAAAGTTAGTGGGTGCGGCTTATATTCAAGTGCGCTCAATAGTTTGGACATTACGATAGACTTCTGCACCTCCTCCTGGTTCCATTTACAGCCTGCTTGACATCATAGTTTAGTGTTAGTGAGGCCCACGTGTTTTTCTGCGCGAGTCGTTGCCCTGGACGTTTAATGTTTTTTAGCACTTGTGGGCTACCGTAGCTCAGGCTCGTGACAGCAACGTGAATTAGCAACGTTAGTCACTTGATTCGGGAGCATTACCAAGTGGAGGGAACATGCATCCTGTCACCCAGGGCAAAAGCATGTTGTTGTATTTTTCTATCTGTGTGAGAAGCTCTTCTCCACCATGAACTTTAATCAGGTCCAGACTTACTGATGAGCATCTTCAAGCCACACTGAGGGTCTCACTTGTTTCCTCCCTCAAGCCGAATGTGTCTGAGCTGTAAGAGGAAGCGCTGCCGGGTCTCTAGCCTACGTCCTGAAGAACCGTTCATCTTCTGAGTTGTTGTTAATAAAGGTTGAGAAGATTGGATCAGTTGTACTTTTTTAAATATTTGAAGCCCTTTTTTTTTTGGAATACTTGATGCGGCCCAGCCTCACCCAGACTCCACCTCCAGCGGCTCCGGGGGTTAGTTGAGTTTGAGATCCCTGATTTACAGGCTTTAGAAAGTCCAACGTGTGACGGAAGACTCTGACCAATCACAGATCTTTTTACCCAGATCCGGTCCGAGGACATAAAGAGGAGCAGTCAGCACTGGGAGTACGATGTGTCGCGTGGTTCTTATCATTTCTTCCTTCGTTGTTTGCCTACAGCAGCTTCAGGTGAACCTGCAGCTCTCCTCTGCTTTACTTCACAGTGAGTTCCAGCCCATGGGTCAGCTGTCTGCCTGCAGCCTTCCTGGTCTGATGAACTACTGGCTAGTAGAGATCATTCATCAGCCAAATAGTTGTACTAAAACAGAGCTAAAAGGAGAGTGCTTACTGGACTCACCGGGTGGCCAGAGGTGCATCTATGCAACAGCTGGATGTTTAAATCAACAGCTGTTTGGAAACATGTTTAGAAAGCTACGACTTGTTTCTGCTGCCGAAAGAGGCAGTTACTGCAGGTTAAAACATTATTTTCCTGTTAGTTTGTCCATTTATAAGCCACTCCTGCCCTAAAAATCTAAAAAAAAATTTAAAAAAAAAGCATAGCTAATCTAGCAAAACTCAACTCACATTTACTAAGACTCCGTGTATTCACAGAATGTCGACTATCTACAGTTTTTTAGTCAAAACAAGTGTCATACGGTTGTTCCCTATACACACCAGCACAGCTCGTCCATCCACTCATTTACAAGCTTTTGATGTCCTCATATCCATTTTTTTTTAGATATATTTTTTAAGACAGCAGTTGTTTACAACCTTGCAAAATATCATTATTTATTTCTCGGAGACCCCAGAGGGCAAAACAGTGAAAGATGCGTGCCTGTGTATGTGTGTTTTGTGCATACTCATTTGTTTAGAGCTCTTTCATGTATTCTTCTGAGATTTACACCCTCCGAAATTCTTCTCCACGCCTCCTCATTACTAAAATTCTCCGCTCCCTCGTTTCCTGCTGTTACTTCCTGTTGTCTCCTTCCTTCCTCGCTGTAGCCGTTGGTCATTACTGGTCTACATTAACATCAATCGGCGCTTTCGGAGGGATGAGTCACCAAAAAACACGGTGCAGGCTGTTCCCATACACTAACAAACACCTGACATTACCACGTATACCCGAACAAGTGGCACCAAAAACACTCCAGACAAACTCCTGACATCGTGTTGTTTTTCCAGTGGGAACCTGATCACCGTGGTTACGCCCCAACTCCAAATTACAGGAATAAAACAACAGAGAGGAGACAAGAAGCTCACTGGCTCATCCTCAGCAGACGGCTCCTCCTCCATCCTTTTCTGTCTTTCTTCTCCACATTCTTTGTCATGTTCTAATGACAGAGGCAATAGAAATGCGCGCTTGCAACAAGAGAGTGGAGTTTGTGTGACTTTTTGACTCCCTCACCCTCTCACCCTCTCACCCAGTCACTCCTTCTCACACAGATGGTTGCCCCGGCTGCTTTCTGAGTGTCTTGGCAGACCGGCGAGCTGAAGGATGCACAAGAGGGCTGCCAGCGGCCACACACACGATCACACATACGCAGTCAACCCGACATGCATGTGCAAACTCCCGTGTGCTCTTTACCACACACCTACAGCAGCGCACTCGAGTGGTCTGTTTTCCTTTAAGCTGCTGTGAGTCATGTGTAGCGAGCCTGTGGCCTCCTGCTTTGTGCAGCTCAGAGGACGCTGCCGCCGCCTCGTCCTCCCTCTGTCTCTCCAGACATGTTTCTCTCTCTGTCACTGCTGCTCCTCGCAGCCATTTCTGTCCTCCCCTCCATTTAAAATCCTCCATTCTGTCGGATCTCAATGCCACCTCTCCTCCAGAGCAGCCGGAGCGGCCTCAGCGCTACATCTGAGCATGTGCTGCGAAGGATGCGCCTCACACACCTCCAGCCCTCCTCGTTTTCCTCCTCCGTCTAATCCCAAACACATCCCTCTTCCTTCCATTTTGGCGTCTTTTTCTTCCCCGCTTGTGCCCCCTTCCACCTCCTTTCCTCCCCCCTCTCACCCCCACCTCCTTCCCTCCCTTCCCCTTTATTCTTGCTGTGCATCTTATGTAACTGGGGGAAGGATCCAGCTCCTGCCAGTTCTGCTGCATGGCTGCTGTTTCTCAGGAATCATCTTCCTCAGTGCCAAGCAGCCTGCTGCCACTCCGAGGTCCATCTTAGTTTGTTATTCTGCACGCAGCGGGGCGACATGCATTCATGCTGCATGTGTCACACACACACACACACACACACACACACACACACACACACACACACACACACACACACACACACACACACACTGGCACTATGCCCATGTGTGCTGCCTCTATTTACATGTAAATATAACATTCAGCTCGGTGGCATGTATTATGCATGTGTGTGTGAAGGCAACGCATTCTCGCACAAAGCTGAATGTGGGAAGTATGCAGCATCCAGTCTTCACTGCGCTGCTGTTAACGCACAACAGGAACACAAGCGTGAGAGTGCAAATGTGCAGCACTGCAGTCATTCAGATCTGCTCCGGGCTGGATAGGCAGGGATGGGGGAGAATATAGCAACCGTCCCGTACAATTACAACCTCCTGTAATTATCAGACGTAGCACAACCAGATGCTGCCTAATTAGGGCGGTGATAATTGGGAGGATTATTGCATTTTGATGACTCACTTCAGTTCTCGTTTTTCTCCTTTAGTCAGACTGTTTGGACAATAACGGAGACAATGTGAGTGTGTGACGATGGCTGGAACCTGATCCAGGTGTTGAGGTGAGCAGGTCATCTGTAGGTTCTGTGCCGGCATCTGCTCGATGATGAAACCGCTCGTGACTCCGGCCTTTTGCGCCGTCTTCTGTGATACTAACAGACCTTTTTTCATGGAAGTGAAAACATTTACATCCGACGTTGCAGACTGGGGTTCAGTAATATCTGCACATCATTCGTCTGTCTGTAAAGCTCAACTTGGAGCGTAGTCCAAACAACATTCAGGACTCGAGGAAGAAATGGAGGAGGTGGGATCACTCGTTTTCTTACCTGTATTTCTTATTTACTCGTGTTTCTCACTGAGGTCGTGAGCAGAACAGTTCAGGCGGGATAGGAGCGGGTTAGATGTTGAAAATCTGACTTACAGAACTTGTAAAATTTAAGCAACTTTTATCGTTTGCTTCTGCTCTTAATGAAGCAAAGCAGATTGTATTTAGGTCATGTCAGAGTTTCCTAGTTTGATTCTGCTCTTTACAAGGTTTTCTGTATAGACATGAAAGTATAGATTGTGTGTAACTAGACCAGGTGAAGAGACGAAGGCTCTCCGGTGCTCTCCAACATGCATTTGCAGTTGAAATCATTTACAACAATCCAGACGACTTTTACAATTAGACGGCAGGTTTGATGTGAGGGCCGAACAGGACTCCTGCACCAGAACACCAGACCTTCTTTACGTGTACGTTTCTGACATCACCAAGTGGACTTTTCAAGATTCATCCACTGAAGGTAATTTTTTTAAAAAGTTTTTTGTACATCGAGTGCTAAAGATCTGTTGTTAATTAAACTGGCTTCATGTGGAAATGTTCTTCTCCACAACAGAGAGGAGCTTCTTTTTTGTTTATTCGAGGACACTTGGACACGACACATGCTCGGTGGAATCCCTGAACTTGCACCCGTCCAGAAATCGCCTCTCCGGTGGTGCATTCAGCCAGAGTCAGAGACCTTCTGCAAAGAAAACTGCACAGTCGCAGTCAGTTCACATTAGATTTCCAACTCTTGGATTTCTCGTTCAAGGCTGCTGAAATAAACAGACCTGAGATCAGCAGCAGTTAACGCCTCGTGCAAGCTACACGGATTTAAACCTGAAAACACGTAGCGTGGCTTTGATCCAACCAGTATAATGAGCTTTCCTGATTGTAGCTTGTTCCTGCCTAATCACCACTATTTGTTTGATGGACTTAGCCAGATTTTCAGCACATTAAATCACCAACAACTCCATCATGTGATCTGCCCAACTTTGTGGACTCATCTCTCACCTCCAGGGTGACATCACCTCTCCTTCACAGCTGGTGGATACAAAAAGACGGGAACAGAAGGAATTAAGGGCTGAGAAAGAGGGGAAGTGATGTGGTAGGCATCAAGGTATGACGTATGGGCGTGCTAAAATATGTGGGAGGAGTTGGAAGGACAAGTTTAGGGGGAAAAATAAGACTCACAGATGAGAGGAGAAAGCTGGAAAAAAAATGGAGAAAAAAACGTTGTGAATGGAGGACTAAAGGTGGCCCATTCACTGCACCGACCTCCTGGGTGCCATCACAGAGTAACTGACAGTAGAAGTATTTTCCCCAGCCTCTTCAGACATCCCAGGCCACCCTAATTAGGCCTCATTACCATGTGACTGGGCTCACAGCAAGACCATATGCTAATTGACTTGGCAATTAACACTGCCAATGTTTAATCTCAACCCGCGCTCCCCTCCCTCTGCTCCTTTTTCCCTCGTCCTCCGACAACAAGGATGAGGTGACCGGATGTGAAGGCATCCAAAAAAACCCAAAACATACCCAGACAGAGACCTCCAGTGTCGTGTGTTCTGCTTCTGTATGCGATGAAAAAGCATCAAAGTGACGGGATCTGGGGCAGGATGAACGAGGGGTTGATCACAGGAGCCCCGGGTGATCAGATTTGGGTAGAGAGCGTGATAGTGATCAGAGGAGCAAGAGAAACGAGGAACAGTCGGATGTGCCGGGAAAGAATTGGAGCGAGCCTTGTGCCTGGAGCGTGTGTGTGTGTGTGTGTGTGTGTGTGTGTGTGTGTGTGTGTGTGTGTGTGTGTGTCAGGAGGGGGGAGATAGCTGTTACAGCTCTCAGGTGGAAACTATCCTTAGNGGGGTGGGTGCACGAACACAAATGCACATATGAAAGCAGACGCAGGGAAGTTACCATGTCTGTGACAGTCCAGCTCATACTCAGCTGTGTACATAAAGAGGCTCCGTACAGGGTACATATGGCAGCAGCCCCGAGGAGATACTGGAGCTCCGTCTTCTCCCAGGAGGAGACTAACTGCCTCATGAATGTGCAGTCTGAGAATAAACAGCTCCACTCTGCTGAATATTGATTAATGATGGAAAACAGAACACTCCAAAATAGGCCCGGGAGCTTTCTGAGTACACAAATCCTGCCCTGACAGTAGCTCCACACTCACATATCATCTGTCTGTTTAGCAACACTAAGTCAATCCATACATTGACATCAATTTCCGCACAAACTTCCTTTATCTAATTGGACTCAAGCGGGCATTTAGGTGCAATTTCAAGTCAGACAACCTGTCCAAGGCCCTGCCTCTGGTTCAGGGGACACCCTTGGATTTAGCTGACCTAAGGAGCAGCTCAGTGCAAACAGACATTTGGAGAATGCTCTTTTTTCTCTTCTTTTTTCAGCACACCCCCCTCCGTGAACAATACCGGCCACATGGGAGGGTCCCTGGGGGTTCCAGAAGAGTGTGTTTGTCAGAGAGAACAGCAGTAAGGCCATTGTTTGGGAGGTGTGTGTGATCCAAAAATAAAGAATGACATCTAACCTCCAAACTAAAGAACGCAGAAGTGATTGACACTCCTAAAATATCCCAGTGTGTTGTGGGATGAAAATGGAGGCGCAGCTACTAAAAGGAGACCAACGTTTTTATCCTCGTGAGAAAAATGTGCCAGAGCCAATCAGACGTCAAATTTCACACAGGTCAAAGCCTTCCACGGTCACGTCTTTGGTGAAGTTTTACACGGTTTTGTCAAACGCCCCTTGAGGTCAAGGCCATCTGTGCCAAGCCCTGTGCGTAAAATGTGCATGTGTGCAACATATCTTTAACACTGCATGCCCTCTCTGCTTCACACACCTCTGCATTTGGTGCATCGACATCGCCTCTCGCAGGGCTGTCAGTGATGCAACTTCCACCTCAGTGGCGAAAAACCCCGAAAACCAGCCTGATTGCTACGCACGCTCACATGCATTCAGATAAACCGTGATGAGATTTTTCGCCCCAATATTCGGACGTGCTCAGTGAACATCGTGCACAAATTTCCACAAGGCTATCAGTCTCCCGACCCCCCTCTGAAACCGTCAGTATTCTACACGGTGAGCAGCACGTACCTGGATCGATGTAAACAAATGTGATCTAGGATGAAGACGGATGCACAGCTGTCAGGCTTGATGGGAGGCAGAATTTTAAAAAATGTCACATTTCGGAATGAGCCCTGCTCGCCGTGTTTGCGTATTCTCTCTCCATCCACATGGAGCTGTGTGCGATGAGCCCAGATGATTCTCTGCTCCAGGCTTCACACCGGAGGAACCCGGTTATTCAGCCCGTGTCCGTTGTCCTCAGAGGCACAATGTGCATGAACACGAGTCCAAACAGGGGCGACGTAACGCAACGAGGGTGTGAGGATTAAAATGTGGAAGAGATTCTTTATCGTTTGCCCCTAAATCCTTTGTTCAGCGGTGCGCATCTCTGGCTTGCGCTCTGCAACAAAGACGGAGCCTTCGTCAAAATAAAGAAGATGTGAGTCGAAATCCTGTGATGTGCAGACACTGTGTCCCCATAACAGCCGGATCTCCTTCTCCAGATATTGCGCTGATTATGCCGCTGGATGCCCGGACTGACACTCGCAGCTCCCCGCTGCACCTCTCACGACTGAGCGCATCAGAACTGCGCTCCGCATAACGTGCGTAATGATAATCCTGGTGCGCACCCACACAGAGACACGGGGACAGTGACAGCTCTCCGGAGCCGCCGCCGAATCCCCTCTGTCCTGCCTCTCTCGGACTGTTTTACTCGGATAAATTACCTGATCCCTGACATGTGGACGCCTTATTAAATCCACACTGTGTGCGCTGTGTGTGACGATCAGGCGCGCACACACCTCCTCCTGTCTTAAAGCCGCTGTCACTGTGCGCACGATTTGGACTCTCCAAATGCTCCTCTGTTACATCCGACTGCTGCGTTACTGTTACTCTCTCGTCCACTGCGTTAAGTCACAGAAAACATGCCAACACAATGTCAGGTTAAACTTTTTAAATCCAATTTCCAGTTGCATCTTTCAGAATAAAGTGTCATTTAAATAACTTTTTTAAAAAGAGAAGTCAGGCCCTCTGTTTGGGAGTGTGCTGCTGTGATACAAACCTCACGTTGTTTTTGTTTGTTTGCTTTGTTTTTTAATGACAAGCTCAGTAAACTTTTATTAGAAACCTGAAGTAACCCACAGAAGCACTGAAGAGTTCGGCTTGTGGAGCCAGACATCAAACCACCAGCCACTGCTCGACCTGCTGCACCTGCTGAGCCACAGAACCGCTGAATGTTCTGTGAGGCTTGTGCACAAAGACCCCCTGCTGTTCTGTTACCCCACCGTTGTTTGTTTTGATGCTTTCAAGTCCTCGCTTCTTGTCCTCTGCAAGCCTCGTGTTGTTTTCGTGTGGCTGTGAGGGACTCTCTTATTTTGAAATCAATCCAGCCTCTCTTCCGGGGTTCCCTTGGTTACCTCAGAGGTCTTGCCACAGCTCCAAACTGCTGTGATGCTTATTATTTCTCAGACACATCACATGCTTGTTGCCTCAGCTGCTCCAGTCCATCTACTGGGGATCTAATGGTGGACCCCCCTCCCCCCCCTCCTGCCTCTATCTCAACGTGGAAGTGATTTGTGGCACCGCTGTCACCATATTGCACTGATTTTCCAAAACGCTCACCTCTGCAGTGTCAGACAAGCAGGAGGAGCCATGACACCTCTGACCAGGTGGCCATAATGCTGCTGTAACGTCCACTCACAGTCTCATTTTTAATCCACAGATCTGATTTCTGCACGTTAAAGGGAGGGGGCACCTGGGAACCAACTTCACATTTTGCACATTTTGCATGGGGTTGCCCTCCCATTGTCTCTCCCTCCCCCGACTTTCCCTTTCACATGCACACAAACTCATAAACACATGCAAAGTGAAATGACATGCAGGCTCAGGGGGCAGTAAGGAGGCGTATCATATGGAGTGGCAGCTGAGGATGTGAGACTAATCTGACAGGTGCAGCCCTGCAGAGTGACAGCATGGGAGGAGGAGGAGGGTCACTGCTCAAAACAGGAGCGCTGAGGAGATTAATGGTTCTCTGACTCCACTATCAGCAGACAGGCCCATGCTGTAGATCTGCAGCACCGTCCTTATTCGCTTTACACGAATGACTGGGAAGGAAATCTGCAAATTCAATTCTAATCAGACTGTGCTGTCGGCTGAGGAGAAAATGTCAGCTGAATAATCATTTAAATGCCACAAATGTTTGGTTTCGCTGTAGAACTGCTGCTGTAGTGTCCCTATGAACACACAAACATCCCCGAAACATGAGTTCCTGCATCATCGTTAGTACTAAAAAGTTCCTGACTGCAGCTGTGTGACGTCTTCTCTCCATGAGCTTTATCACATCTTCAGTCGTGTTGAGACAGGAAACGATGCAAAATGTTTTTGTGTGGACTCGACTGCTTCTGCACTCAACTACCAGAACACCGACTGTGCAGACATTAGCCGTCAGCTCGCACAGTGGACCGGCGTGAAATCATTCGACTATCACACGTGCAGCAATTAATCACAATTAATGGAATTGAAAGAACATCTTAATGTGAGCACCTCATCAGGTTGGAGTAATAGGGTCATTAAGAGGTTTATTACCGTGTAATAACTGAGTGTGTAGCTGGGAAGGTAAATTAGACGGCGATTTGGTGCCGTAGAACAGAGCCCTTGATGTATTTTGGTGCATGAGACAAACACAGAGATGTAGAGGAGATGACTGATTCCACCCTCATGTCTGCTAAATAGAGCTAGCAGCCAGTTGTTAACATTTCTCCGTCCAAAGATAATAAAAAAAGCACCATTAAACCTCACTGATTAACACTCTGTGACTCATTTGGTTGAATCCATACAAGAGCCAAAACAATCTGGGGGTTTTGTGCTTATAACCTACTGAGGACTTGTTGTCCACGACAAAAAGTTTTGCAAAGGATTTGGATCGTGCAGCAAGGCAGGGAATTAGTTTACTTAATGACAGTGCTCTCAGCATTTAAATCTTCCATCAAAACAAGTCGCCCATCACTGTAGCACCCTCTTCTGTAAAAGTCACATCCGTAAGGGAGATGTAAATTTCGTTATCGTCCCAGATCTGCGAGTCTACAAGAGTCCAAGTACAAGTGGTGCTTAAAACAAACGTTTGACTCACGAGCGAGTCAGCTCATCGGGCTGTGCACATGAACCGTCCCTTCCTGGAGATACTTCTGTTTTACTTTCAACACAAGTCAGAACGGCACCAGGTCGCGTTAATGGAAAGACACATACAAGCAACGGCACTTCAAGTTGTAAGAAGTTGTTTAGGATCAACTTTTTCCCCTTTTTTTTAGCACCGATGTTGCTCCAAAAACATCACAGGGAGCAAAAGACACAGTTTGTATGTCAAAATCACAAAACATTTCTCATTTACTCTGCTCTAAAGAGGGAGCCACAAACTGAACTGTTCTTAATCATGAAACTTGAACAGCTTAGATTAACGATGCTCAGCTGTGTTGAATATATTCTGTGTTTCTTTGCAGGAGCTGAGCTTTAGTTTGTAGGCGTTGTTCCTCCTGCAGCCTCAAACGGCACCACCATCCCTGTCAGCATTCGCACATGTGGAACAACAACATTGATAACTGTATTAAATGCTCGCAGTTATCAATAATCCCCAACATGAAGACAGGATCAGTCCAGGTGAGGCTTTAACAGCAGCTCACACTGGAGTTGTAGTTCATAATCTACGGTTGAATCATGTGCTGCTTAGTGATCGTCCTCAGGTTGAGTCCTGAGCTTGTTTGTAAAGTAACAGATTATTATCACACATAGAGAACATTTCATAAACAAACCAGGTGATTAGTTGTTTGTTAGTTTAGATGAATCTCTTGTTTATTGCTGTGTTGCTGTCTCTTGTACATCAGCTGGAACCGGCCTCACGTGACTGTCAGACATTGTGTGCGTCCTGTGGTTCTGTCCGTCACCGCGGTGGGTTTGGTCTGAATGAGTTTGAGGGGGACACCATTCCTGCATCCTGGGCTTAGCTCCGCCAACTACAGTTTTAATTGGCTAAAAGATGTACCAACATACTGGAGCGTTTTGAAGCAGAATGAGAACAGGGTGCAGTGGTCTGGATATGTGAGAGCACTTTTGGACTTTGCCTCCATTTCCTGTCACTATGCTAAGCTAACTAGCTGCTGGCTGTAAGTTCATAATGAACAGTCATAAGAAATAAATCTTCTCATGTGACTCATTGCAAAAACGTAAAAACAACCTCAGCCAAAATGTTTGCTGTTTATTGTTGTATTTCTACATATACAACTATGCAACGATAAAGCAAGATTTGAGATTTAGTTATTGTCTTGTTCTGATCACAAGGCAGGCCTGTTTAAAGGTCTCTTCTAACATCTCTGAACTGGGAACGCTGTTTTTTTCCCCAGTAATATTCACCTTATTACTGGAAAAGCAGCAAATCGCTCGGTGATATTTGTGACTGCTTTTTGAAATGTCTTGTGATGCCGCGTACACGGTCTCTCTTTTTTTTTGCAAAGGAGATCTTGATCTGAGACTTCATGAATAAATCAGGCTCAGGCTGTAACAGGATCTTTGCATTTATATCTACAGTATGGTGTCAGCATCATCTTGAGGCTCAGATAAAAGCCGCCAGTGGCAAACTCCTGCTTCAGTATTTATAGCGGGCGACAAGGTAACTCTGGATCAGTGTGATCATGTGTGAGGCTCAGTCGCTGACTAATATAACTTCACTGACAGGCAGTAAACTAACTCTGGCTCTGCCCGCTGTGGTATTGTCCTTTAATGAGGACAGCACACTCTCTCAGTGTCGCTTTCTGTCATTTGGTTTATCTGCTGCGTATGCTATTTTGTTTTCTTTTCCCCGTCTCTGTTTATCTCAAGTTTTCTTTCCAGAATCTGCAGCCTCCCCATGTTTTTGTCCCTGTTTTCTCTCATCCTCCCCACACTCGGTGCTGCCCGGAGGTTGCCTCGTTGCCGTGGCTCCACATAACAAAGCGCTCAGCGACATGCAGGCTGCACGCTGCATCTGTTTCCAGCGGCAAGCGTCAGGATGGGAGCCCATGACCTCACAGGATGCATTAACTATGACAGGATGCAGGTGTCCAAAATTAGCAGGAAGAGATTCTAATTTTAAAGAGCACTTTGTTTCCAGACGCACATCCCATTTCAAACAGACTGCGATGCATCTGACAGGGAGAGAGGATGTGAAGTGTGACAGTTGTTCTGCCTGCTGAGGAGGAAAGCGCAGCTGAATAATCAGTTAAATACTACAAACAGTTATCAGGTCTGACTCAGTCATTTCTAAAATGTGAATATTCGGCTGCAGTATGTTTGGTTCAGCTGTAGATCTGCTGTGCTGCTGTCCCTACAAACACACAAACACTCCCTTAAAGTGGCAACTCACTGATTTTAAACTCCTGCATCATGCTTAGCTCTAAAAAGAGCAGCAGCTGTATGATGTCGTCTGTGGCTCACGTTGAGCTTTATTGCCTCCTCAGTCGTGTTGAGGCAGAAAGCGACTCGACTGCTTGTGCACCTAATTTGCCCCAAACTACCAGAATACCAGCTGTGCAGACATTAGCTGTAAGCTCTCTGGAAACAAACACACCGGCTGGTCCCCGAACTTACCAGAAAGTTCTTTTGTTTGCTCGCTCTGTGTGTTTACAGAGCTAAACCCCTTCAAGTGAGGTCACCTGAGTGATTTTATCTTAACCTGAAACTGTTTACAGAAAGGACACGTCGAGTTAGGAAGACTTGGAAAGATCAGTTTTGATAAAAAGATTCTGTTCATTGGGGGAAGATTTGATCCATTTTCTTTGCAGCTCGACCAGTATTTAGGGGGTAAATGTCACCACCTATCAGCCCCTGCTGCCCTAACTGTACGCTCCACTGAATGGCGGCTCTGCCCTGTATTCACACTGTGCTGCCAAGTGAAATGTGCTGACTTGGTCACCGCGGTACTGAAGGTAGTGTGTCGAGCAGGATTATCCAGCCCTCATCTGTCCACCACGCTGACGTAAACCTTCAGGCTTTTTAGAATCCTGAAAACCTGCAGAGGTTATGACCTTCTGAAGCAGCACAGCCCCACAGAAAGGGGGGATTCATGGTAAAGGTCATCTGAATGTCGCCCGGTTAACTCAGAACGAGCTGCAGCAGATTAACATGTCCTGGAGGGTGCATACATCAGAGGCACTAGCACATACATTTCTGGCCCACAAACACTAACCTGGTCTTATCTGACCTCTTCAAAGACCACGGTTGCTCACTTGTTCCCCCTCGGTGAGCCTGGGAGACCTTTCTGTTGGCTCCTCAGGTTTCTCAATGGCTCTAAACAGGATTTAGCCCTGGGAAGGTCAGGGTGAGGTCAGTGGAATAAAGGCTGCTCCAGGATTTACCTTCCTCCTCCGTCAGGCAGCCACCGCGTCCACACGCTGGAAGTGACACGTTGTTTTTAAAGCCTGTCTGCACAACCGGGCCTGGTTTCAGTCAGCGGTGAATAAAGGTTGCTCCTTTATCATGAGTGGAGCAGAAACACTACCGAAGACAGAAAAAAAGAAAAGAAGGTGGAATACAGGAAAGCCATTGAAGATCAGACTGAATCTTTTTTGCCCACAGAGTCGCTTTGAGATTGTCTGCGATGATTTGTAGCTGCAGGTAGTCAGTCAGTCAGCTGCTTCTGTCCAGACTAGTGGACGGATCACGGTGAAGTTACAGTACATCATGATTTTAGTGATTCCACTTCTTATGATTCTATTTAATGCCGTCATGAGGCCAGATGCAGCCTCACATTCTGCAGAACATGTGGCTGCACCCCATTACCGGCCTCCTGTAGAGGAAAGCCACCGGCCGGGTCGTTTGGACTTCTTAAATCCAACCACAGACGTGTTCGGTGGAGCAAAGCAAAGGAAGCAGCATCGGTGTTCCGTCATAATAGTGATGGGGTGATTGTTTAGGCAGAGCAGTTTCACACAGGGAGGCTGGAACTGGGACTAAAATGGCTAAAAAAAACCCACCAATGGGGCTGCCTCACTGCACGATCCATGTCCTCTGCAAAACTTGGCGTTTTCATTGTGGCAGGATGCTGCTCGGAGGTTGTTGCTACTTCCTGTGGTAAAGGGAAGCTTCACATGGCGAGCTTATAGGTCAGACTAGCTCAGATGTATTAAAGCCTCATACTTATGTGATCTGCGAAGCTAATCCCACTAGCATCCTCCTCACCTGTATTTTCTGTTATATTCAGGCAGTGTCGGCAAAATGTGAAGAACGGAAAACCTCTGACTTTACTGGTTCGTTCATGTTGCTTTTGCATTTTATGTCAATGTGACTTCTGGAAACAATTCTGTCCTCCAGTGGGATGAGAAATTCTTTGTTCAGCCACTTTGCCCACTCAGCTGCTCGTAGCTGTGAGCAATAAAAAGCGGGCGTGGCACGATCGCATCTGTCTGCTGAACTACGGCACGTCGACGTCGCCGCAATGATGCACAAACTGGAGCTGAGTCCAATCTCGCGGAGTCACTGGTGTCGTCACACAGCTGACAGCGGGAAGAAGTTCGACTACAGCCGAGTTATATAAAAGTCTACCGCCTGTCTCATTCTTTTTCTCTCAACCGCTCCTTCCAGCCCGAGCTGTAACCTCTCGAGGTCCTGTGTTACCTCCACCCTTCTGCACAATTACCCACCCAAGTAGAAGCTGTTCTGTCTGGCATGGGGCAGAGTTTGCGACGGGGCAGGGTGGGCCGGGGAGGTGTCGGTGGAGTCCTGAAGACAGAAAAGATTGGGGATGTGGCTTTTGGGGGTGGGGGGGGATTACTGGACCAGATCATGCCTTCACAGAGCGCTCATTACACGGAGCTCGTCACATTTTTAACTCAGTCAATCCGCCGTCGTCGCTCAGACATGCTGCTAACCCCCTGCGTGGAATCAGACACCGCACAGACAGATAATCCTCCCCAAAGTCTGCCATTTGATGTCACCCCTCCCTCAAATAGGCACGTATGTGTTATGCATGTGTACGAGCATGTGCCTGCACTGGACGGGGAGGATTTGAGGTCACAGCATGAAACTATGTTTTGGGTTTGGGGGAGAGTTAAGGATTACTGGTTTAGTGGGACACTGGCCAGATGCACACCACTGACACACTGTCGTCCAATTCAGTGTCCACAATCTTGTTCAATAATAGTAGCATTTGATTTGTGTGGAGTGAAAGCTTTGGCATTGAGTGCTTTCACTTCCCTCCATTAGTGATGGCCTTGTTAATGTTTCTCCCTGAAGCCATTTCATTCACGTCTAATATACGATGCTCCATCAATCCGTCCACACAACCAGTGGCTTCTCCTCCCACGTCGACGTCACGAATCCCAGGTCTCCTGGTGCGCCGCTGCTCTTCATCCAGAAGCCATTTTCCATCTCTTTATATCAGCACTTTGCTTTCCTTTCTCTGTCAGACATCCGTCACTCGGCCCCCTCGTCCCTTCTCCTGCTATGCTTCACTCTCAGCATTCGCGTCACGTCCTCATATCCCCATTTGCTCTGATTTTAAGCTCAATTCTGGGAATAAAACGAAACCCATGCGGTGATTGTTTGATATTTAAGTGGTTCATTTAACAGTACGAGTTCGGAGCTCGCGGCAGACGGAGTTTAAGTTTAGCTGCACCTCTCTCAGTGTGTGCTTTATGTGTGCCTCTGTACGCCTGATCATATAAATGGAACTGGCAGGGCTAGAGAGCAGCTCCAGACTCAGGAAGGAAGGAGCTCCACTCAAATTAATCTCCACTGGACGGCCCAGTAAAGGAGCACGGCCATTTTTGGGAGCAAGGAGCCATCTCCTAGGCGAGCACCATGGCAACAGCCAACGTGGGCCCCAGCCTCCCGAGCTGTCCTTTTCAAGCGCCCTATCAAAAGTGGCAGGCCAGGTTTTTTGTTGTGTGGCGTCTCTTACTCTCTCTCCCATTCTTCTGCCTCTCCCTTTCTCCGCCTGCATGACATGGTCCTGGCCTCGTCCGCCAGAGAGGCTGTGAGAAGGCTGCACAGGGTGAGCGTCTGTGGGAAAATGTTGCCAGACAACACCGCGGCATGTGACGGCGACGGCGAGCTAATGTCGCCTGCAAGACGGAGATGTGCGACTAGATCACAGTGTTTCTCATTCGGTTGCATCCAAATCACTGAAGTTGCACATTTCACGATTTACCTGCACGTCTTTACGTTTGAGATCTAGAATAAGTTATCTAACTCACTTAAATCCATCCAGACTTTGTGCTGCTTTATCTCAAACTTTCTTTTAAATAGAATCTTTCGTTGCTGTATTTGCTCTTGGATTAACAACATCAGCAATTTGGTACATCTCAACAGACATTCGTGGTTCCCAGAGGGGATTTCTTAATGTTTCCTTTACTGCCACCATGTTTGTTTGTTTGTTTGTTTTTTGGCTTTTAAGTTTCTTGTTTTTGAACCAGAACTGTTTGTTTGACCAAATAGCTACAGAACTACTGACCATCCCATCAGCTGGGCCCGTTAGCGCCAATTAGCAAATGCTAACGTGCAAATATGCTCATTAAGACGGACAAGCAGCATCTAGTTTTCTTTTTTGTGTTTATAAAGCGCTGAAGGATTGAAACAGAAACGAATGATGGAACTCGAGGTCCTGTAGTTCATAAAGTCAGGTGAATAAAACCCCAACATGCTAAAAGAGGAAACTCAACATCTTTCAGCGACCCTCAGACGTGCATTCGTCTTTGTAACGAGGGGTTTAATGAACTGTAATGCTCTCAGTCTGATCACGTCCCCCTCAAACATCACATCAGTGCACGAGCATCACGATCCACCGACGTCTGTCCCAAAGAACCAAATGCACGTCTGTTCCCACTGAGGAGGCTCTTCAGCTCGAGCTCCTGCCGTCCGTGCCCCAACAACAAACCTCAGAATCAAGTCAGAATCAAGCGGGCCTGTTGAGCTTTCCTAAACAAGCCGCAGAGCCTGATTGTATGTGAGTTGCTGCATGAGGCGGTGCACCTGCGTGGAAGCATCTGTCGTGCTGCTCAGCGCGTTTATTCCAGGATTTCACTCCACTCAGAGCGGTAGTTTCATATTTGTCAGTTTCATGCAGAGGAAGCTTGTAATAGAAATGCAGTGGGTGTAATCTGGCATTGTGGAACAGCCGTGTTTGGGATGCTGTTTTTTAAAACCGATTTTATTGTTTATTGTAGATCTGGAGCTTATCCTGTGATGTCAAACTCTGGACACGTCACATTCACATCCGCACGTTGCTTCCACAGACTCCACACAGACAGAGCAGACGCTCGGTGTGGTTTTAGGGTTTATTATTGACAGTAGATTAGAGCTTAATGTTGACAGGATTAGAGTTTCTTACATTCATAGAACACTGACAGGATCTTAAGGTTCATGTCAACCAGTACAGCTGAAACACTCAAAGGTTATTAAAAGGTTTGTCCACACCACAAAACACATGCTGAATAATTCACGCATCTCTCGCTGCTGCCGACCCTCTCGTTAGATACATGCAGTAAGTGCTTCTCTGTTTACGTTGCCAGAGCGCCACCTTGTGGATAAATGAGGCGGCGCACAGAGAGAGGCGAGTACAGTGTATATATATATTGTTAAGATAGTTCTGGATATTCTTAAAAGACAGACAGATGTGACTAATGACGGGTTTGAGCTAGAGGGAAGAAAATCAGATCAGATTCCCTGTTTCAGAATGAACCTGCGTTATCCTAAATCCACCGCCGGGGACCTCCGTGCACGCCCCTGACTGCATCACGGAGGGCTCTAGCGTGAACCCATGAACTGCTGCAGCCAGCCCAGGTGGCGCGACACTTTCTGGAAGATGTAGCCTTTGGTGCAGTCGGCGCCCGGCGGCCGACTCAGCACCCCGGTGAGGAAGAACACGTCCCGGTAGAGGGTGAGCAGCGGGCTGCCGGAGCTCATCTTGCAGTCTGCGTTGGCGCGAGCAGTGGTGCAGCCCATCTTGTTGGTCATCAGGTTGGGGTGAGTTTCCAGACACCGAGGCAGCTTCTCGTAGGCCAGCTGGTTGAGGGCGAGCGGGTCGGGGAATGCGGAGCCCTGCGTGGCTTCTGTCCAGCCGGTGACCACCGCCGGATACTCTCCGGACATCAGGATGCTTTCGGCAAAGTCTCTTTCCGGCAGACAGGCGGCGACCACGTCTCTCTTGAAGATGATGCGGTCGCGGAGCTCGATCACAGCCAGGTCGTTGTCAGGGCGACCCTCCTCCCAGCGCGGGTGAGTTTTAGTCATCTTGACGTACAGCGTCTGGCCGCCGCTCTCAAAGCTGCTGCTGCGCTTGCCTGAGGAGGTGCAGGGGAGGAAACACGATCAGCGTTACAGGCGCTAAAACACAAGGACGCATTCTGAAACAGAGAAACATCAGCGTAGCTCAGTACAGTTCTGAGGTACCAAAGTGATGAGAAGAGGCCCAATCAGAGACTAAACCTGCAGGGTGTCTGAACTACTCAATTCAGTCATTCAGCCAGAAAGAAGCTACCACCTCAGCAAGCTGCATCCTCAAAATGAACACATGAACGATGTCAATCCATCAACGCTGATGTTTGTTATTTAGTGTATTTAGTAGCGATGCCTCTGTGTGTCGGTCCAAAGTAAGATGTGATCAGTCATTAAACAGTGCAGTGATGATATTCTCATTGGTGACTGAATATCTGGGCTTCAGAGAGGCGTACGCAGGAATATTTTGGATAAATTTTGCTTCAGAAAAACGCATCACCTCAGTGGAAATAAGAAAATAAAAGCAATGCATGAGAAACTCCACTGATCATTTATTAACAAGTAGCTCCTGAACAACGACAAAGTCAAGAACAAGAGATTCTGTTTTTGTGTTCTCTCTGGTTTTCAGTGACTAACTGGTCAATTCTCAGGATAAAAACTTTGATTTACTTGGAGAGTTAAAACAAAAATAGGAACCAACAGAGAGAATTATAAAGCAGTGTTTACGAGTTTGTGCAGCTTCGTGGCTGCTTCAGAGTCAATCAAGAGTAATTTATAAAGAAAGCAAACGTTCTCTTATTGAATTGATATTTCTGAATTAATTAATACTGAAGGATTCAATACTACAGGAACTCTGCTCTCGTGTTCTTATGGTCTGTTTAGTTATTGGTTCAGGAGTTGTGAGAATGTTCCTGATTCGCTCCTCATGACGACTTTTGTTAAATGCAAAAGGAACAAAAACATGAATCACAGAGCAGCTCAGATTCAGAAAACAGACTTTGCACCAGTTTAAACCTGTTCATGTACTTCAGGGACATATTCTCTGAAAACAGTCCTGAGACAAAGTTCCCAACACTCACATGTGAAAACTCGTGTTTTAATTCAAACACAAGCGTGAATTTAGTTAAAACTGTCTGATGATATCTGCTTCACAGGTGGAAACATGTCAACAGAGACACACTTCTGTGCTTAAGATCACATTTTTACTGGGGAAGCAGAAATCTTCAACCACAAACCTGCAGTAACACCAGAGCTGCTTACGTTGGTGTTGTTATCAAATCTGCATTCATTTAATTAACAGATTGTCTCCATCCAGAAGTGTTTTTTTTCAGATTTACAATTCAACGTTTGCACATTATTTTCCACTAAAGAACATATTTTGGAAAACTGTAAATATATCTGACACATTTCTTTTTTGTACTACTTTTTTTTTTAAATGTATTATTTTCAGTGGAGCAGTGGAGAGAGACATGAAGGGGGGAGAAGAACGAGGAGAGACCTGCAGCAGAGGGCCGTGAGCGGGATTCGAACTCACGACCACTGCGTCGGGGAGCTAGAGCCCCTGTTCATGGGACGCCGTCATTGAAATGCCTTTTGCACACTTCTGTTGTACTCTTGTTGCACTGCACCCCACACAGGACTTTTCTACCTTTACTTGACATCTTACACTTATTGTACATTTTGTTTTTGTTTTTTTTTACTTCTAATTGTTTATTTGTGCTTATTTATCTGTCTTTATGTTGGTGGTAGCTCTATCTTTGTGCTGTAACAACCAAGTGCCCCCCTGGGGATGAATAAGTTATTTCTGTTCTATTCTATCACGCCCCTTTTTTGTTCTACTTTTTAAAGAAATTCCCAAATGCTTTGAAATGTGCTTGCCTGTGTGTTATTAAGTTTTGAGTTCATTAGTTTTGTGCATGTGTCCAGCCTGCTTTGTGAATGCTACACATCCGTGCTGCAGGTCTGCATGCCGCCTGTCGTTGATGCGTGGCTGTGTTTGACTCACCGACAACCACCTGGAAGGAGGGGTACTTGTTGGCGCACTGAGCTGAAGTCAGGACCAGGTTCTCCTTCAGTATGACTCCACTGCAGAAACCTTCTGACTCTGAGCTCTTCAGAAGAGCCTGCAAGCAACGAGACGTCGCGGTCAGAAACGTCCAAAGCGCCTGAAGACGTGCCGGTAGCGTGTCGAGCGTTTGCATCCTACCTGCCAGGGACACTCTGTAGACGTACAGCTGAGGCCTTCGAAGTTGCTGCGCACGTTGCTGGCCTGTCGGTCACTCCACTGACTCAGGCTGTTCACCTTACCACAGGGGTATTGGACTGACAGAAGACAACCATGATGATTACTGGCTCTCACCGTCAACATGCTTTTTTTTTTTTTTTACTGTGCTTTGTGGCTGCTGTAAACTTTGAGGTGTAAAATAGAAGCTGTGAAGCAGCCTCCCAGCTTCGATGTGTTTTCATCCTGACTGGGGCGGGAACAGCAGCTGCTCATTGGTTTCTGGAGCAAAACAGCCCAAAAATCAATGATGGTGAAATGAATCATCTCTGCAGTAATGTGAGCTGATGAAAATGGGCCTGGAAAGTTTATTTGAAGCCAATACGATGCTTTTTAAATATATTGTATTACTGGGCGCATCCTGTTGGCAGCACTGGAGAGTCAGAACCAAAGCAGAATCTAACTAGAACAACGTGATAGACTGCTGCCCTGCCTACATGCAGGTCAACGTGCTGCAGGGTGTTGGCTTGTGTTCATGCAGCCAGACAGTCAAACTACCTCCTGCTCAGTGAACTCTGACTGTAGACGGACCGGGCAGGACCCTTCTGAACAGAACATCTGTATAGTAAAGATATAAGAAACATCCAAAGCATTGTGAACCCAGAGCACGCCCACAGAAACGCTCAGCAGAGTTCTGAGAAGTACGACAAGAAAAGAGAATTGAATTTGGCCGAATCCCCCGACATCCTCCCATCAGCTCAACCACTGTGCAAAACCACGATCCACAGGGTCTGTGAACTTCTGTCGGACTCATGAGCGTTGTCTGGAAGGTGCTGCCTGGTTCAAAAACGGATTTTTCTGATGCAATGTTCCTCTCAAATTCTAATCCTCCCACTGTGTCGGGATATTGTGATGACCATCGTATGTTGTGTATTCTTTCCTCGCTGAAACAAACTGTGTTGGATGGACACTTTGCAGTGTTGGTCCAAGTTTGCGGCTCAAGTCTGGATTGGCAACGAGCTCTCCGCCCACAAAGAACATGTGACTTGCTGATATTTGTGCTGCAGTAGGAAAAATGCAGTTCGGTTGGACCGGCAGACAGAACGAGCGTACCTGCAGCCTCGCACAAGTCCTTGTTGGAGCTCTTGAGCCTCCATCCGCGGGCGCAGGAACACTCGTAGGACACGTAGCCCGGCTTACAGAACTGGGAGCAGCCCTTGTTCTTTTCCAGGGTGCACACAGTCTGGTCTGTGTTGTGGAAACGTAAAAAAAAAAGAAGGTTGCAGAACTCACAAAGCTCAGGAGAAGTAAACCAGCAACACGCTCACATCTCTCTCTCACCGTTTTCACAGTGGACGCCTGTGAAGCCCGACTTGCAGACGCAGTCGTAGCCTCCCACGCTGTCCGAACACATGGCTCCGTTCTTGCAGGGGTTGTCTGCACACTGGTCTCCATCTGAACACCGAGAGCAAACCCATGAGAATATCTAATGCACTGCTAATGGCTGTGCAGGGGTGGGAATCGTTTTATGGCAGCACTTACCGATGTAGACCGACCAGAAGATATCCTGGAAGACAAATGGCATGAGATGAGTGAACAGCTGCAGCTGCATGGTGTTTTTCTTTCACACCGAGCTTTTACCATGAAGAGGTCTGGGAAGTAAGGAATGAGGAGGGAATGGACAGGGAACCTACCGTGCGGTACGAGTCCTGGAAGAACCTTCTGGCCTCCTCGTAGGTGCACACCTTCTCCATGCAGGCCTGCTCCAGGGTGGAGGCCGAGCTCCTCTTCTGACGGGAGATCAGCGAGCTCGCCTGCTGCTTGTCCAGAAACACTGAGGGAGAAGTTCATGTCACAGCTGAGTTCACGCATTGATCTGCTCTGTTTTGTTTCACTGGGTCAGAAAATCGAAAAAAGTCTGTCTGGCGATGAAACCATTTTAAGATAATCAGCAAATATCTTCAGTCATTGTTAAAGTTTTCCAAATGAGGATCTGCTGCTTTTTCTACTTTTTATCTCACTGTAGACTGAAGACCTTTGATTGGACGATCAGTCAGACAGAACAGGCGACTGTCAGATCATTAAGATTAACTGAGTATGTGCCCAATAAACCGGGCGAATCGAACCTAAATGTGCAGCATTGAGGCTAAACGCCCCCGAAGCTCGAACAACGCTGCATCCACTCGCTGCTCTCTGCATTTCTGGCCTGATGAAGAACAGAACCTCTCCCACGTTGACCTTCATGTCGTCATTTCCCCCCAGTATCACCTGGCTGCCCCTCTCACCTGTCTCAGGGCTCTGAACGGCCGCCACAGCTCCGGCCAGCAGACCCAGCAGAGCCACGGACGTGCTCCAGGAGTTCATGGTGCCGCTGCAGCGTGTCCTGGTTCTGGTTCGATGTGAGTCCTGCACTGATTCTCCTGGAAACAAACACAGACACGATGCAAGCGTGACTCCAAAAGCACGACGAGCTGCAGAAGAACACGCAGCTGAGAAACACGGCGGTTCAGCTTCTCATGATAAACATCTGCTGGTGGTGATGAAGACACAGCAACTCGTTAGTCCTTTACAGAATGACTTTGAGCCATTCGATGCAACAAAATGTAATGTTGTTGTTGCTAAATGCCTATTTTTGTTGGTGACGCTTGATGATAAGAGTAACGGTCATTTAATTAAGTAATTCTCAATTAAAACATGATTTAATGCATGAATTATAAAATGATAAATTTGTGACGCTCACCATAAATGATCAGTAGAGGAATGTTCACATTTATAAAACATGAAAACAAAAAAACAACATCGTCTTCGTCGTATTGGGAGAACCAATGGTCCAACCTGTGGTCCAACTCCTCACGAGTTCAATGAAAATACGTTTTCTTTTCCCCCCTATTGTTGTGATCAAATATTTCATCTAGAAAGAACCTGACATGTTTAGTTTTGTGTTAAAAACATCTCCAGCCGACTTCATCACTTCTTCTTGTGATTGACTTTTCACGGCAGCTTCAGTTTTTTTTAAAACGACAGATTCTGAATCGACGACATGATGAGAAACATTTCAGGTTTTTATCTTTTAATAGTTGCTGAAATATTCACACAAATTTAATTTCATGTCTCAGAAAGTATTTGATGTTGACCAGAGATTTCCCAGATAGCATTTTTAAATATTCCACAATGTCTAGTCGGTGGATCAGAGCAGAAGATGATTTAGGACAGAACCAGTCACGTCTCATAGAAACATGAACATCATCAGGATGAATTCAGTTCCATAAACAGCTGATTTCATGGATTCATGGATGAAGTGAAACAGAACAAACATGAGCAGCATCCTGTTGTCATGCAGCCATTAAATCATCATGAGTCATGCAGTTGTTGAGGTTTGAGCAAATATGTGCTCATTTACTATCAAGGGTGGCCTTATCATCACCATCATCATCATCATCATTATTATTATTCTTATTATTATTATTATACAGGTCCTGAATCACGCTGTGCTCTGAATGATGGACATTATTCAGCAGTGGGTCCGTTTATAGCAGCTGTTACACAACAAAGATGGACACACAACAACATCCTGCTTTAACAAACACGATTCTGCTGCAGTTCGTCCACAAACACAGACACACAAGCTGCTGCTGCTGCTGCTGTCAGGGCGCATCACTCATCAGGCTGCTGCGCAACGACAACAACAACAACAACAACAACAACAACAACAACAAGAGCTGCAGTGATGCTCGCTTCCTACCTCCCGGCCCTGCCTGCTGCCTCTCCCCGCTGCTCCTGCCTCTCATACGGGCCTGTCGAGCCAGAACAACGGATGTGGATCACACCGAGCTGCGCCTGCGCACCGACTGCCTCAGGAGGCTGTGGTGACAGAGGTGAGCCGCTGGGGGGCGCTGCTACAACAATAATGCAGCAGTTTGCGTCAACCTTTTAAACCATCAATCAAGTGCAGTTTAAATTTCCACTCACTGAATAAGAAGAGAAAAGATCAAAATAGAACAAAATAGATCTTCATTTATTTTCTAATCTTGTCCGTCATGAGGGAAGATGAGCCGGATCACATTTTAGACTGTAGGATGAACTGCACCTGGTTATCAGGAATCTGTGAAAGTTCTGATTTTATTAATGTCAGAAAACAGCTGCATGAACATTAAACACCATCGAAAAGCACGATACTGCAACATTAAAGAAATGTTGGGAAAAAATAAAAACAATCAAATGTATCGCTGCTTTAAATACAACATACATATAATACATTTATAATAATAATCTATCTGCATCTTTATCTACATGCTAC